AAAAAAATCAACTCGCATGCATAATCCGAATCACTGGAGATTGAGCATCATCATAAGAACTTATCACTTCAAGTGCAGTGGATTAATTGGCATATGCACATATATCAGTTTCTCACCACTTGATTGCTCAATGTTTAATGAGTAACAGTGTACAGTTAAATGGAAATGGGGAAAGCATTGCTTTAGAAATGTTAAAGAAGTTCCAGCTGTGGTGCTGAATCCGTAATAGTCCATTCGCATGTGGGCCTATCTCAAGTTAGGTTCTTCAGTGAAGAGAGTTCACACTTGCAGAATGCACTGGCAGTCACATCATTTGGGGTAATCAAGTTCCGAGGCATATAGGCATGGGTTAATTGGTTCTTCAAAAAGTATTATTTCTAATTATAACCTCGCTGCTGTTTCAAGTGGAAAATACTAAAATGTAAAATCCTTATCTAATGGTGTTTCATGTCTCGGAAGCAAGAATCGAGTGTACCATCGCATCAGAACAAGCAATGTGCCCAAAAGCTAAAAACCATTTTAACTCCATAGCTTAATAGTACAACACATGTTCTCTGCAAACACACACAAAAAAATGCAGCTCAGTCTGCAGGACCTCCTGTTAAAAGGTTTGTGCAGCAAATTATGAGAAAATCTACTCCATGCTTGGTGAATCACAGACCTTAAGAGATGATAGTATTAGACTAGATCCGTGATGGCGAGCCTATGGCATGCGTGCGCAAAGTGGCAGGCAGAGCCACGTTGCCTGGCATGCGTGGCGTCACCCATTCCTCTTCCGGGTTTCTGGTGTGCATGCGCGCGTGACAATCAACTGGCCTTTGTGTGTGCGGCAGTGCTGGAAACTGGAAGAGCTGGTTTTCCATTTTCCAGCGTGAGCATTCATGCCGGCAAGCTGTGCATGCGTGCCAGTAACTGGAAGTCTAGCTGGCTGGCACGCATATGTGTATCGGAAACCGGAAGTTCATTTTCCGGCGTGCGCAAGTCCCCTAGGCAGCTCCTCTTTTGGGTTGCGATACTTGGTGCCGAAAAGGTTTGCCATCACTGGACTAGATAGACAAACAGTGTGTTTGGTATAAGATGACCTCTTTAGCCTGTTAAATGAAACCACTTTTCAGTTCATTTCAAAAGACATTTGCAGTATATTAATGTTCTACCTCCATCTACCTCTGTGCATTCTCTCTATGCTCCTGATCTTTTCTCATTTCTCTGCCACTTTCTAATTTTTTTAAAAAAGTGAAAGAATGCATACATATATTTACACCTGAATAGGTAGTCCTGGCTTTCTCCCTGCTACCCAATTTAATCTGGCCTGTGTTCTCATCTTGGATCCTACTCCATTCCTTGGCCAGTCTAGACATCTAAAACAATGTGACATCAAAGCTTCTTTCCAAGCAAGGCATTATCTCTTTTTTTCATTAGTTGTTTAATTGCACCAAGCTGATTTTTTGCTTTCTTTCCGGTTGGAGTTTGTTGTTTTTTTGGCTTTCTTCTTGTGAGCCTTTGATTGTGTAACTCGGATGTTTCCATTGGCTCCCTTCAAAATATTCAGATCTGAGTCAGATTAATGAGACTTCTGGGCAGATGGGTTAATGTGCCAATGTTTGTCAACAGATGTGATCTCTTGTAATGAAGCATGTGTTCTTAATTTAGTGCTGCTTGACACTGGGAGGGAGCGTCTCACAAATAAAGTGTCATTTCATGCATTCTGAAAGCTTCCTTCTCTTCTCTCTGGTTGGTATCCATGCACGGCTTGAAAACTGGCACAGTACCTGTGTAAATGGGCATGGTGCCATCCTGACAGATGGGCATATCTGCTGATCTGCCAGTAAACTATTGGATTTGTAGAGGTTGACTTCAAAGGACCAAAACATCCATCTATCATAAATGTGGGGACAGATACCTTTATATTCAAATAGATAGAAAGGAGTTTACACTGTCATTCCCTGAACTGCTCAAGGGTGGAACTATTCAATACTGAAACAAATGGTGGTTCCTTTGGCTGTTTAGAAACGATTAAAATAGAGATTATGCGCAATGGAAATGGTCCCCGAAATCCATTGCATTAACAACCATTAATTTTTAAAAAATGAAATAACAACAGTAAAATTTACAACAGCATTTACACAGTGTTTTAAAGCAACTGCCAAATAGTAATCAGGCCTGTTCCTACATCGCTTCCAAGCCAGTTAAGTTTAGCTTTCATGATATTAGAATTGTATTTTAAAACCTGAAGGGATAGTTACGAAGGTCTAGAGAACAACAATCTGAAAGTAAGCTGGATGTATCATTGATTAATCTATAGCACCGGTGTCCAACCTTGGCAACTTTAAGAGTTGTGGACTTCAGCTCCCAGAATTCCCTAGTTAACATTCTGGGGAATTCTGGGAGTTGAAGTCCACAAGTTATAAATTTGCCAAAACTCCTGATCTAGAGCCGAGGTGGCGCAGTGGTTAGGGTGCAGTACTGCAGGC